CTTAGGGTGATGAAATGCCCTATCTTTCATACATTCAAAAACCCTCACAATGAATTATGAACAATTAGTATTGCCAGATCGCTTCGCGACTGAAAAAGCATGAGGTATGCCTTAGGCCTTATGAGCCTTATGACGCGATCATTTAGCATATTCGGAGTGCACATTCTAGGTCTAGAAACGGTATGACAGTACGTACTCACAAATCTCCGCTGCGATTTTGTATTTCCCTCTTTCAAACCTTTGTTCAATATTCTTATGGTTAATTTATGTTTGATCCAGTATCCATACCATCTCGAGAAAGAAACTCCCCTATGTAAGCATAATTCTGAAGAGGAGTTTTAGAAGCACTAAGCGTGGATTTACATTTGTATTTTAGGAGCTTCCACCAGGTTTTGAAGAAGTTCTGCCACAAGAAGTTATAGCTCAACTTCGAGCTGTCCATGAGAATAACCAGATGACCGCAGAACAACAGCATGAAGCGATCGACCGTATCATGACAACCCTTCCTGAGGAACTAATCCAAAGACTGCCGCAACCGCCTGGTTTTGAAAATCTTCCACAAAACATTCGCGAACAGCTCAAAACCATACATCACGATAGGGCAAGTTTTCTCTTTACCGCTATCGAGCCCTAAATAGCGACGTATTCTAGACGCTAAACTGGCGCCAACGTGGTGACAAGATCAGAGCTTTGCTCGAATCACTGCCGTCACATCTTCGCCCAATGCCGATGCAACCGACCCCATTCAAGGGAGGCAAGTTTCTTGCAAGGGCTCATGTACATTCACTGCTTCAAATGATTACGTTTTAGCCAGAGCATTTCGTCAGCCCAACTTTGCCGTCTAACGGAGTACCCGTAACAGCAACAGCTTTATCATTCTGCTTGGGGATTGTATTTTTGAATAAATTCGCATGATAATAATCTACAAAAATAAGCCGAACTCGGGAAAGAACCTGCGGTGTCGCAATAAAAGCCCACTTATGCTGTAATGTGTTTTTCGTTGTACTTGGCAACAACTCTACAACTCAAGAGATTTTTTGAAACATTTAATTTCTAGCGTTTGTCTAAGTACTGCGAAACAATCAGCGACGAGTTCCATCTTCAAAGAAGATGCCTCCATCAATGGCGCAGTACTTGGGGCAGATTCCCCTTTCGCCATCTCCACCGGAGTTTCCTGGTGGTCCAGGTTGTCCAGGATTTCCATCGAATCCAGGCTGGCCCGGTGGTCCAGGTGGACCTTTCGGTCCCGGTTGCCCTGAAAAAAAATGTTGTACGAAAGCACGATGATTTGTTGGCGGTCACAAACCATTGCCTCCGCCGTTTCCAGGTCGACCATCAGGACCAGGGTTTCCAGCTGGTCCGGGTGGTCCTTGTGGTCCTGGCGCTCCAGGAGTAGGTGGAGATGTAATCGCATCCTGTCCAGGCGATCCCGGTGCTCCAGGACTCCCAGGATTTCCATCAGGTCCAGGTGGACCTTTTGGACCAGGTGGTCCAGGGTTTGCTCCAGATCCAGCGTATCCAGGTGCGCCATCAGATCCGGCGTCTCCTGGGGGTCCAGGAGGTCCAGGTGGTCCAGGTGGCCCCTC